CTGAGACCACCAAGTCCAACTGTTCCCTTGGCACTGCCAAGGCCACCACTAACTATATCCCCAGTGCCACATCCAACCTCTCCCCGAGGGTTCACTGTGCCTGTGGCACAGGCAGGGAGCACACCAGGCCCCTCCTGTCACAGAGTCATCATGGAATGGTTTGGAATTGAAATTCCTCCCTGTGAGGTGCTGAGGCACTGGCACAGGTTGCCCAGAGAAGCTGTGGCTGCTCCACCCCTGGGAGAGCCAGGTTGGAGCAGCCTGGGCTAGTGGAAGGTGTCCCTGCTCATGGTTTGGGTGGAACAAGATGAGCTTTCAGGTCCCTTCCTATGACAATGGCAGGATCTGGGGTTGCAGTGGTTAAATCCTTATGGGAATACTCTTCTTCCTTTGCCTCCAGAAAAGACTGAAAGGAGCCTCTGCCTTTCCACTGCCTCTGGAGCAGTAAGTGCTGTTTTGTTCTGGGATTATCTGTCACCCTGAATTCCCCTTGCTGTGTGGATTGAGGGACCTTTCCTGCTTTGCTTGGAGAGGGCAGTGAGTGGGGAGAAGGTGGTGCTGGGGTTGAGGCTCTGCCCAGCCGTGCCCTGCGCAGAGCTCTCTGCGGGGAGAGACTCGATCCAAGAGAGCTCTCAAGCACATATTTGGCTTCATCATGGCTTTAGTCCCACTGATCTCTTTAGAAGCTGAAGTTAAGCGCATGCCCAAGTGCTCTGGTGGATCACAACCCAAGAAAGGCCTGTGGGACTCCACCAGTTTGGGATGGTGCTGTTCCTCCTCCCTGGCAGCGCTGGAGCTGGGCTGGGACCCTTCGGTGCCACGGAGCTGACGCCTCCCTGGTTTCCTGATGTGCCCTGGATTTACCAGATTTTGATGTGTCTCTTCCCCATGCTCCATTATTCTGCTGAAACTCAATCAACTCTAGCTGTGGAGAGGTGGAACAATGTATAGGAGAAACCTGAGCTGGGATTTTCCAGCCTTTACAGATGTGGTGGCCTGAAAAGCACGTTGGGTATTCCATTAGCTGGATGCCAACCCTGAGGAGTGGGTTGGTGCTAGAGCTGGAAGCCTTTCTCAGGCATGAGCTCAAGCCTCAACCAGCCCTGCCATGTTTTACACACTGGAAATAGCAGCAGCCCTTGAGCAGATGCAGTAATTTTAGCAGACACCACAGGAGCAAGACCAGAATCTGAATTTTAGTGATGTTTCCTGTTCGGGGGTTTATACCTGCCAAGAGGCTCCACACACACCAGACAGTGATGGGTTAATCCATGCTGTTACCTGGTTTATCTGGAGACATGAGTCCTGGTGTTCCCACAGCACTTCAGCTCTGATTCCTGCTCTTCTCGCTTTTATCACGGAATCATAGGATGGTTTGGGTTGGAAAGGACCTTACAGACCATCCTTAGGCCATGGGGACTCATCAGCTGTGTGGCTTCCCCTTGTGTTGTCCCTTTGTTGTTCCTTCTCTTTTTGCTCCCATGAGCTCCCAGCCATGGTCTCCCTGGGCTGGGAAACTGCAGCCACTGGAGCCTCTCGGAGCACAATGCATTCCTCCCTTCACACAGCCCAGATTCCCTGAGCATCAGATGTGACCTGTATTTTCCTCATTCACACTGGGACGGAGTGGGAAGGACTTTCCCACGCTGGGCTGAGCAGAGAGCTCACCTCATGCTCACTGACCAGAACGGATGGGCCTGTGCTTCCAAGCATGGAAAGAGCCAGTGTTTGGCACGGATGGCTCTCTGTTCCCACCAAATTCAGCCCTGGAGGGGCAGGTTCAGGACTCTCTGCACAGAGGCCTCTGACGTACGAGTGCTGGTGTGGCTTGGAACAGCTCCAGCCGTGGCCCTGGGGAGTCCCAGGTCTGTGACTCCCATCCTCGGGCGCAGGAATGGTGCCACATGTCCTGAAGAGGTTTGGGCATTGGGAGAGGAAAAGTTCAAGAGCTGAGGTTCATGGTGGAATGGGCACGAGTTGTGTGGAGCTGTGTGACCTGTGGATGGACTGGATTTCATAGTATCATAGTGTGTTAAGAGTTGGAATGGAGCTCAGAGATCCCCCAGCCCCAGCCCCTGCCCTGGGCAGGGACACCTCCCACCAGAGCAGGTTGCTCAAGGCTCATCCAACCTGGCTGTGAACACTAGCCGCAGCCTCCCTGGGCAACCTGGGCCAGTGTCTCACCACCCTCACAGGGAAAACTTCTGCCTGATAGCTAATCTAAATGTCCTTCTTGCAATTTCTCCCCATTACTCCTTGTTGTGTCCCTGCAGTTCCTAATAAGGAGATTTGGACATCTGGGCATGATTCAAATCTGCTTTTCTCCTCTAGGCACCTGAATGAGGGAAGCTGGGCAGAGGTCAGGCAGCAGCTCCAGGAATTCACACACACCACCCAGGTAAAGGTCTGGAACAGGCATTGGATCCAAAGCTTATCCCTCACCCATGGCAAAGATGAGCTGGCCCAAGCAACACCCGCCCTGGCCCAGAAGCAATTAGCAGTTAGACTTTGATGAGCCTTGTGTGGCCCTTCCAACACACAATATTGTGTGATGCTGTGATTTTGTGGCAGGACAAGAGGAAATGGCTTCAAGCTATGTCAGGAAAGGTTCAGGTTGGTGTATAGGGAGAATTTCTTCAGGGAAAGTTTGGTCAAGCACTGGAATGGGCTGCCCAGGGCAGTGGTGGAAACATCATCCCTGGAAGTGTGTTTAGGAACATCTGGGGCAAGGGTTGGACTTGGTGATCCTGAAGTCTTTTCCAACCTACATGATTCCATGATTCTAGATGACTTGGTTCATGTCTAGGCTGAGTCTGAATCAGTTTCCCAGTCTGGTTTCCCCTGGCTGGAAGGATATTCTCTTCCATGTTGTGCCTTACCTGTCCACAGCCACCTAAGGAAGTGCTCCACCATTCCCTAGGGATGCAAACCTTTGGTTTAGCTTTGGGTGTATCTTTGCAACCAAAATAAGGGAGTGGTGGCAAAGTGGTCGGACTCTCCCACATCCCTCTAATGTCACAGTTCTCTCTGTTTTGCCCATGGAATTCTTCCCCTGCAGGAGGACCTGGAGCAGCAGCGCTGCCAGCTGCTGACCAGGGCTGTCGTGGCAGAAGAGCAGGTGGCAGAGCTGCAGGAGTACATAGACAAGCATCTTGCAAGGTGAGGGATCTCCCTTGGGCTGTGTGCTGCTTTGTGCTCCCAGCTGATCCCCCAGGCTCGTTGCCAGGGATGTCCCTGTGCCCATCCCACTGTGCTGACCTCGCTGCTGCTGGTCCAGGTCTCCCTGGAGCCTTCACAGGAAGCTGAGAGGATGTGCCTAAAATCTGAGGCCTCCCAGCACCCCCTGATCCATGTCCCTCTCTCCCTGGCTCAACCTGCCCTGGGGAGGGAGAACAGCTGCTCAGGCAGGGAAGGCTGAGGACATCAGGGCACTTCTGTTGGACCATGATCCACCTGTGCCTGCTCTGCCTCCCCAGCTGGCTCTGCTGGGAGCTGGAGCAGACTCTGCCCTGCCCTGGCAGTGCCAAGGAACAGCTTTCCTGGGGAAAAGCTGTGTGTGTGTAGGTGCTGGGCACAGCTCCCAGCGTGGCTCGCTGCCTGGGCACTGGCCCCACATGGGGGTGACAGTGCTACCTCCACTCAGGTACAGGCAGGAGATCCTGAGGCTGAGGGGCACCGAGGGCAGTGAGGTGCTACAGGCACTCAGTGCCCACCCAGTGCCCAGAGCCAGGACCAGCAGCCACGAGCCATAGTGCCCCACGGAGCAGCACCAGCAAGGGATGAGCAGCATTCAGAGGTTTGTGGTTCATGGGCTGCCAGGCAATGTCCTTCCAGGCCAGGAGTGGGAGCACGGGGTGTTCCTGGGCTCAAGGTCACAGGTCTGAAATGAGACAACTGTGCCTGTCCTCGTCTGTCTGTCAGCTGCAGGAAGTCTGCTGCTCCCTGAGCACACCACGGGCTCAGGTTCCCAGGCAGCTCTGTACTGCAGGGCTGCAGGGACAGGCTCCTGTTCCTCCTGTGACATTTCTCCCGGGCCAAACCTGGAGCGGAGCCCAGGGGCTGCTCCTGCCTCACTCCCCTCCAGCTCCTGTGAGACACAGCCAAGGGACTGTGGCAGCAGGTCAAGGGAGGGGATTCTTCCTCTCTGCTCTGCTCTGGTGAGACCCTCCTGGAATACTGCACACAGCTCTGGTGTCCCCAACATCAGGACATGGAACTGTTGGAGCAAGGCCAGGGGAGGCCACTACGCCGCTCAGAGACTGGAGCACCTTCCCTGTGAGGACAGGCTGAGAGAGCTGGGGCTGTTCAGCCTAGAGAGAAGGTTGTGTGGAGACTGCAGAGCACCTTGCAGGAGCTGAAGGGGCTCCAGGGAAGCTGCAGAGGGACTCTGTGTTAGGAACTGCAGGGACAGGACAAGGGGCAATGGGCACAAATTGAAAGAGAGAAGTTTAGATTTTAATTTAGAATGCTATATGGATGAGCACAGTCAAACTGACCCTTCAGGAAGGTGAGCTGGACACACTCCTTCCTGTGCCACCTTCAAAGGGACAGCCCGAGGCCAGGAGCAGTGGCTGCTCCAGCTCCAGGAGTGTCCTGCAGCTCAAGGCAAAGCACAAATCTCAAAGGAACAACCAACCAAATGTTTATTTTGTAAAATGAAATAAAGTGGCAAAAGTACAGAAAGAGGCACTGGAGCTTCAGCCCTTAAACCCTGTGTTAATCCCAGGGTTTCTAGTTCTCGTTGTCTCCTCCCTTGCTTCTCCCAAACTCTTTGGAAAACTGAGGCACTGCCACACTGAGTCCTCGGGACACACCTTGGCCAGCAGCACTCCCTGCGCCCTGAGCTGAGCCCCAGGGTCGTTAGGCTGCCAGGCCTAACGAGGCTGCTGCCAGCCCAGGCTTCCCTGGGCACTGCTCCGTGCTGCTCGACGAACCTCCTTTATGTCATAGGCCCAGACCTGCTCCAGCCCCTGCCCCAGGGAGCTGCTGGGGGGCCAGGAGGGGAAGGGGAAGCGTCCAGACACCACTCGGGCATCGTCGGGGAGTTCCGCGAGGAGCTTGGTGGCCAAGGGAGGTTTCTGGGGAGAGACACACACGAGTGGCCTTAGGACATGTAGTGCCAGTGCCACCAGGGACCACGTGGCACTTCTGGCTCCTGAGCAGGGGCATCAGCCAAAGACCCTCCAAAGCACAGGGCTGGCACTGGCCCTGGGACCAGGAGCAAGTGATGAGCAACAGGACAAGAGGAAATGGCCCCAAGTTGTGCCAGGGGAGGTTCAGGTTGGATATTGGGAAAATTCCTTGATGGAAAGGGTGGGCAGGCACTGGCAGCTGCCCAGGGCAGGGCTGGAGTCACCATCCCTGCAGGGGTTTAACAGCCACATGGATGTGGCACTTGGGGACATGGTTAGTGGTGCTGGGGGAATGGTTGGATTTGATAATCTGAGAGGGCTTTTCCAACTGAAATGATTCTATGGCTCGGTAAATCCACATGGTGCTGCATGCCAAACCACTCACTCCCAGCAATGCCCACTTGGCCTTATTCTCTCCCAGATTTTCTCTTTACCAAGGAAATCCTCCTCAAGCTTACTCTGACCAATCTGGGGTGTGAGGGACCAACTTACCACGCTGGGGGCTAGGAACACAATCACATTGTAGCAGTCAGAAAGATCCACCTTAAAAGAGGAGGTAAAGGGGAATGAAAGAAGCAACAGGCAGACAGGAAATAGGGGGAAGTGTTTATGTGTTACCTTGAGGATGATCTTCTGGACATTAGAGGGAGCAAAGATACCCCAAACCACGTGGGACAGGGAAGTGTGGTATGAAAGCAGCACCTCTTGGAAAACACCTGCCTCCAGCATCATCCCAGGAGCAGCTTCCCTGCTGGATTCTCATGCACCTGATGCCAGCCTTAGCAGCTCAGCTCTGAAGGTCACCACACCCACCTCTGACGGTCACTGCCTGCCAGCAGCAACCAAACCACTCCTCCAAGCTGCTCCAAGAAGGAGAACTGGGCATGGGCTGCCCAGGCTGCTGTTCCCCTGGAAACGAGGATGGTTTCCACCTCCCGGGAGCAGCGTGGGCTGGGGAAGCAGCAAGCAGCCACCAGCAAAGCTAACCTGGAGATGGAGACCAAGCCCTGGCCCTGCCTCCGCACACGCAGGCCCTGGGGATGCTGTTACCTTCCACAGATCTTTCTTCAGGAAGGAGACCTTCCCGTGGTACCCAGCCTTCCAGGCACGGTAGTTGGAGAGACACAGCAGCCAGGGATTGAGCTCATAGCCTAGGGCAGGTCTCAGACCTTGCTTGTAAGCCTCAACCACCTGGAGAGGGGAGAGAGAGAGAGGTCAAACTCAAACAATCCTCAGTGTTGAGTCTGGGGGACAATCTGGGCACAGGGGCAGGGACTGATGCCAGTTCCACTCCCTCCCTCCTGTTGGCTCCAGGGCAGGGTGACCTTAGTCCTCAGCACCTTCCAGAGTGCTCATTCCCACCCTACTCACTGCATGTGAGGTCTTCTAGGGCCACCTAGGACCACCTACAAACATCTGGGCCCACCTAGAAGCACCTAAGAGTGTCTAGGGCCATCTAGGACCACGTAGGGTCACTTAGGACCACTTACAACCATCTAGGACAGTCTAGAACCACCTAAGACCACCTAGGGATGCCTAGGACCACTTAGGGATGCCTAAGACCA